CTCAGCCATGCAGTTCATTTTTGTTCAAGTATTGTATTGTGCTCCTTGAAACAACCACATATAATATAGATTATAGAAGGTCAAATGTTCCATGGACAGAGTGGCCACTTTATCAGGAGTCATCTTTCATTTTTGCATAGAACGTACCTTTTTAAAGAAGAGCAATGGAAACTTAACTGCTGGCCTGTAGATTCATGTTGAAATACTTTTCTTCGACTGTCACAAGAACTGCTAAACAATTCTTTTGTAAATCACTTTTTTGTTTGCTCTTGTTGCCTGATTGCTCCTCCCCTGTCAGAAACTCAATTTATGTGCATTCCTACTGTGTAGGCCAAGTACAGCTCTTTTGTTACTACCTCCTATGCTGTGACCATGCATGTTGGAGTTGCCAGAAGCTTCCTGCAGAGGATCTGGTCTGTACAAAGAGCCTGTGAATGGGTTGAAATGGGCTGAAGGGTGAAGCACAGAGTGGCAAAGAGAGTCACCACTCCAGACCCGAGAACTGAGCGGTCAGCAATCTTGGATCACTCACTTCTCGGTGTAGAGTAGAGACGGTGAGAGGCTACATATAGTGAGGCTTCTTTAAGATGTGATCTTATGAGGGAATTATCTTGGACAGCCTTTTGTGAACCACGGATGGGTATTACAAGAGTCTACGTATGTGATGTTGTAAAGGTAGGATAAGTGCTGGAATTAGTAATGTTCTCTCCTGATTGGCTGTTATTGAGGAACAAAAAGAGCCTAATATATCATAAAGGGTAAAAATGGCATGCTTTCTTTCTGTGACCACTTTGAAAGACCACAGGCCAGTTTAAAACACCCTTAAAAAATCAGTCATCTCAAGGCACAAAGCAGAGCCATCATAAATCCCATTAACGCATTCCATAGAAAGCACCTTTTGACAGGACTCCTGCCCACTAAGAGGTATGCAGCAGTATCATTAAACCCAGAAAAGAGGGGGCCTTCTAATAGCTGTCGTAAACAGTTGTAAAACAGCCTAGAAATGTGCTTTGTGCCAATTCTGTGTCAGTTGATATTGAACTGCCAGGACCAACCCTTCATATGATAAAATTATTCCCAAAACATGGTGAAAACACACCTATATTACAAGGAGCAGAAAGCTGATAAAATGTATTAAATCTCCTTGGCAAAATATGCATACAATTTACTGTATATTAGATCTCTATCAAATAATAATTTCATTCTGTTTAATATCAGGTTGGTTGCTGGGTTGTAAAACCTTGTCATCAGGCCTCAAGTGGTATTTAATCCAAAAACAAAAATGTAATATATTGCAGTTTACCAATCCTCAAGGGCCCATTCAAACCAGAATTCTGTGTGGGGAAACCCGCATTCCTTGTGTGTTTCCAGCACCATGTTTAAAATGCATTGGCTGTGTGATCTGTTGTGGGTGTCAGTGTATTCCTAATGACAATCCAAACACAGATCGCAAACACTGCGCTTGTCTGCACTGGATCGCTTGGTATCGCAGTACCATGCGATATGATCGCAGTACATTTTTACAAGTAATGCATGCACTACTTTTGGTGCTATCCAGTGTGATTTCAGCCTATTCCAATGAATGGACTGAAAATTGCACCGCACTGAATCACACAGGAATACAGATTGTTTTCCTGTGCAATTCTGATGTGACCCGACCTAAACTTGGTGGCTGGATTTTTCCTTTTTCTTAGGCTTTTTTTTCTTTTATTTTTCCCTGGTGTTCTGGCCATTAACTTAATTCCTGTCTTTGAGTGTCTTCACTACACTGGAGCAACAGAGACACCTTGGATAGAAGCTTTGTCAGCCTTGGCAAAGGTTAGTTAGATGAACTAGCAGATTTATATGGACTTGACCAAAACATTATTATTATTATTATACAGTATCTATAAAGCGCCAATGGTTCGCTCAGCGCTGTACATTACAAAGGGGGACAGAACATGTGACAGAACATAACAATCGGCAAGTTAGCAGGGGGCGGGGTAGGCTTCCCTGAAGAGATGGGTTTTCAGGGTGCGCCTAAAGGAGAGGAGAGTAGGTGATAATCTGATGGGTTGGGGCAGGGAGTTCCAGAGGATGGGTGACACCCTGGAGAAGTCCTGGAGGCGGGCATGGGAGGAGGAGACCAGAGAACTAGAGAATTCCAGGGAACTAGCTGAATTCCAGCTAACACTTTTTAAGCAGCACAAGGAAAAGAACCGGTGTTCTTTAATATCGCATATGGCCCCAGCATACACTTACATTTCCTTCACATGCACCTGCTCCATTCTGGTGCAAAAGGAAAAACTCAGTAATTTCTGGGTATGAAGTTATAAGAGACTCATTCCCTGTGACAGAGTTGGACCTGTTAGCACTTTCTCTTGGGGATTTTATAGTTGTGCCTAAGATACAAGTCTAGCAATTGGTAGCTTAAAGACAGCTTTAAGGCTGCATTAAAATGAACGTGTTGCTTTGCCCTTAAAGTGGTTGTAAACCCTTACTTATTGCTACTGAAAGTTGTGCCTGTTTCTCTACAGCCTTCTAAAACACACAGATAAAAGCCTATTCTTCAGCTGCAGCAGGGAGGTAATGGGAATCTAAGAGGGAATGGACACGCCCTGCCCTACATAGTCACACTCTGTACTTTGGATTGAGGCTAGTATATACCAGAGAGGGATGTGCGCTGTTCATTTTTCATTTCAGAGGTTTTTTAACCAACTTACTGGGCAAAGTACAGGTTCACTTTGTTATCCAGTTTTTACCAATCCGCTAGATTTTCATAACTTGCCTTTAAAATGAAGAAATTGAGCAAAGCATTCACACTGGCACAGAAAATTTTTGCAAAAGTGTCTCTCATGGTTTCTAAAAGTGGTGCGGCATGTCCCAAATTCACATAACTGTCTAGAACAGCAATGGGCAAACTACGGCCCGCGGGCCGTATACGGCCCGGCGGACCTTTTAATCCGGCCCGCGGAGCTAGGCTCCCGCAAGGCCAGTGGTCGGCAAGCCGCGGCTCTTTACAAATTTAGATGCGGCTCTCCTGTGTGCCGGGCGCCCGCTCCCCTCCCTCCTCTCCCCTCCTCTCCTCTCGGATGGCCGCCCCCCCTCTCGGATGGCCGCCCCCCTCCCTCCTCTCGGACGTCAGGACTCTGCAGCTGTCAGGATGTAGGCGGGGCAGCCAGGATGTAGGCGGGGCAGCGTGACGAACTCCTCTCACAGTCCTCCCTGAAGACCAGAACGGCGCGGGAATACGAGAGGAACGCGCGGACCAAAGGTAAGTGAATTGACACAGGGGGGGGACTTACTATATGGGGGACTTACTATATGGGGGATGAATTACTATAGGGGGGGACTTACTATATGGGGAATGAATTACTATATGGGGGACTTACTATATGGGGAATTAATTACTATATGGAGGACTTACTATATGGGGAATGAATTACTATATGGGGGACTTACTATATGGGGAATTAATTACTATATGGAGGACTTACTATATGGGGAATGAATTACTATATGGGGGACTTACTATATGGGGAATGAATTACTATATGGAGGACTTACTATATGGGGAATGAATTACTATATGGGGGACTTACTATATGGGGGATGAATTACTATATGGGGGACTTACTATATGGGGAATTAATTACTATATGGAGGACTTACTATATGGGGAATGAATTACTATATGGGGGACTTACTATATGGGGAATGAATTACTATATGGAGGACTTACTATATGGGGAATGAATTACTATATGGGGGACTTACTATATGGGGAATGAATTACTATATGGAGGACTTACTATATGGGGAATGAATTACTATATGGAGGACTTACTATATGGGGGATGAATTACTATATGGGGGATGAATTAATATGGGGGATGAATTAATATGGGGGATGAATTACTATGTGGGGGATGAATTACTATGTGGGGGATGAATTACTATGGGGGATGAAATTACTATATGGGGGATGAATTACTATAGGGGGGATGAATTACTATGGGGGACGAATTACTATATGGGGGACGAATTACTATATGGGGGATGAATTACTATATGGGGGATGAATTACTATATGGGGGATGAATTACTATATGGGGGATTAATTACTATATGGGGGATTAATTACTATGGGGGATTAATTACTATGCTTACTATGGGGGAATATTACTATACTTACTATGGATGACACATACACATCATTCATCTACTCTTGGTCCGGCCCCCGGGTCCAATATATGAACCCATTGCGGCCCTCAAGTCAAAAAGTTTGCCCACCCCTGGTCTAGAACTTGTATTTTATTTTGGTGCATACTGTCCCACTTTGCATGCAAGACACTTTCACAATATCAGTCTACAATATAGCAGTAAGAAGATACCAGTGCTGTCCTTTGTAATGCATTTATTCTGAAAGATAAATATTTCAAATAGACTTACTATAACTTTGGAAAGAAGCTTAGCAAATATTAGCTTAAGATAAGCAGGTGAAATCACAGTTCTGTGAAATGTGTGGTTTACTTGATAGCTCAATGCTAAGCTGAAATTGTCCCCGGAGACCTACATTCAATGTGGGTTCCAGATGAGCAGATAATTAAATCTATGTGAAACTGAATAAAACTGCCAGCAAATTGTTTGATTGTTAATAGTGGTAGTAAACACACTCTCAGCAGTTCTCTTTTCACGGGTCTGCAAATTGTTTTAAAATATATTTTAATTAGTTTGCTGCTGTTTTCTAATGGAATGCCCTTTTAAATGTTCATTAGTTTATCACTTGCTGAAAATTATTTTTCTTTATCTGCTTTCTCATGCCTGGTGCAAACTGCTGGCAAGTACTCTGGTGTTATATTTTTACATTGGTTCATATAATGAAAATGAATTGAATGCACCCTTCCCCTAGCAGGAAGTGAGTAATTCTAACATCAGACTTTCTTGTTCATGCTTGCTGAAAATTTTGATCTTGCAGGAAAATTTCTATTCAGCATGGCTGATCTTCCCACTCTCTGTTTAGAGCAGGGGTGTCAAACTGGCGGCCCTCCAGCTGTTGTGAAACTACAAGTCCCTTCAAGCCTCTACCTTTGGCAGTCATGCTTGTAACTGTCAATCTTGCAATGCCTCATGGGACTTGTAGTTTGGCAACAGCTGGAGGGTCGCCAGTTTGATACCTGTGGTTTAGAGGAACCATAAGTGTGCTGCTTGAAGCTGAATTTAGGTATGACAATTTGTTTCAGTTACAATGGGCCAGCTTGAACAAATGTAGGTATGTATGTGCCATACCTGTGGGATATCCATGGAAGTTAGAAAGCCCTGTAGTAGAACACTAATGCTTGGCATGGGACCTGGAGGCTAGTGGAGATCACTGTATTGGTGGTCTACTGCAGGGCTTTCTAACTTCCATGGATATCCCACAGGTATGCCACATACATACCTACATTTGTTCAAGCTGGTCCATTGTAACTGAAAAATTGTCATACCTAAATTCAGCTTCAAGCAGCACACTTATGGTTCCTCTAAACCACAGGTATCAAACTGGTGACCCTCCAGCTGTTGCCAAACTACAAGTCCCTTCAAGACTCTACCTTTGGCAGTCATGCTTGTAACTGTCAATCTTGCAATGCCTCATGGGGCTTGTAGTTTGGCAAGAGCTGGAGGGTCACCAGTTTGATACCTGTGGTTTAGAGGAACCATACGTGTGCTGCTTGAAGCTGAATTTAGGTATGACAGTTTTTCAGTTACAATGGGCCAGCTTGAACAAATGTAGGTATGTATGTGCCATACCTGTGGGATATCCATGGAAGTTAGAAAGCCCTGCAGTAGACCACTAATACAGTGATCTCCACTAGCCTCCAGGTCCCATGCCAAGCAACTGCCCTGCTGCTTACTTAACACAGGAGGTTGCTTGTTTGGTACAGGCGCCATTCAGAAAACATTTAGCATATTCTCAATTAATGCAAAGTGTTCTCTGATTGGACGAGGTGGTGAGGCAGAGTGGCGACATAACAATTGCCATCCTATCACATCACTTCTCCGCCTCTCCTTCTTGTCCAATCAAAGAACACTTTGCATGACCATAGATTTCCTTTAAATCAAGGTTAAGCTGTCACTATACAGTAAGGGCATTTTTCACACTACAGTGCCATGTACTGCAATGCTTTCTCTTTGTAAATCGGGGTGCACCACGACAAGCTATGTTAGGCTACTTGTTTAAAACGAATAGACTTTAATGCAAATTTAGGGAATTTTTTTATAATTCACACTCTGCAGTTGTGGTGTGTTGCGGTCTGCTGGGGTGCAGTTCAAAATTAAGGGTTCCGCAGTTCACCAATGAATGTTCAGTGTCTCATGCCCGTTTCACACGAGTTGCCAGATTGGGTCCTCCTGTCCTGTTTTTCAGGTGAACCTGACCGGACCTTCCATTCTTCTCTAAGGGTAGTTGGATGTAAATGGACTTGTCCATTTATACCCAAGCTACCTCCGATCCAAGCTGGCAAAAGCAAACTGAAGGGGGATCCGTTCCCCTCTGTCTGGCCAGATTGTAACAGAGGGCAGTCAGGTGTAAACGGACAGCAGTCTGTTTACATCTGACTGTCCATAGAGGTGAGCAGGCTGTCATCTGGCAGCTTTGCTCAGCTCCACTCAACTCAGCTCAGCAGGGGATCATTAGCGAATAACCTGCTGAGCAAAAATGGATCTGGCCTGTGTAAAAGGGGCCTTACAGCAAGTATTTAAGAATAGGACCTAAATTGCCATTTGTAATATAGGTGGACAGAAATAATTACTAATCATGTGAACCCCATAGTACAGGAAAATGTTTCAAACTGCAGTGGATCCATTTTTATCATGTACTTACAAAATGTAGAATGTATATATAGTGAAATGGGATTTCTGATAAACATTCCACTAGCATTTGCAGCAATACACTAATGGCTTGACACACCAGTCTAGTGCAAGTGCCGCAATGACATCAATACTATTCTGCTTGACATCATTTTTTCTAATATTTTAAAGTGGCCGTGTTAAAGGCTTAAAAGAACATTTAAACCTCATGTACGCTTGAGCTCAAAAATTCTACAGCATGTAACTTTTTATTTTCTGCCTCTAAATACCCCTCCATGTTAACCTATGTGTCCATGCACACAGGGTATTTACAAGCGTTTAGAGGCAGAAACAAACATCAGTTGTGGGTTTAAGAGAGAAGCATTTTGAATAAAAAAAAAAAAAGACAAAACACGCTTTAATGCAGACCATATATGCGTCAAATTCCGAATGAATTTTTTTTAGAAAATCAAAAATTTTGAGCATTTTCTAATCCGATAATGCCACTATTGATTTAAAAATTCAACCAAACAAGCCTTTAATTTCACCTCATGTTGCTACAGAAAAGAATTTTCATTACTTTCCAGGTCACAGCTCATGCTCATTTCATTTTCAATTACATTTCTTGCACAATTCTTCCATCATTGATTAGAAATTTGTTTGTTTTTCAAAACCTTTGCAACATGCCTGATCACTCATATTCAATGATTGCTTGAAAATCCGCCATTGCTGTGGCCCACTAATGGTGCGAAATTCAGAATTTGGCCCATGTATGGCCAGCGTAACATTTCTAAATGCATCTAAATGTGCCTAAGCGCTAGGAATATTTATTGCTTGAACATTCATTTCAGTGGCCAAAATAAATTAATATTCTGGACAATGAAATAAACAGCCATGCAACTAAATGCATTTTGAAGCTGCTTTTTTCCTGCGAGGAGTAAAGCATTTCCAAAAGCCCCAGTGTGCATGATCCCTTACCGTACAATAAGGGATATACTGTACGTTATAGTGGGCAATGTCTTGTATATTAATCTAGTCAAAGTACAGTGTTTTATTTATGTATTGGTACTGATTAATTAAAGTATATGTCAACCTAACATTTCATGTTCCTGATAAGTGCCTGCTGTACCATATTTGTGTGAAAAGTATCCTGTTGTCTTTGTATTGCTTCATTTATGTGAAATCCCTGGTGTTCCTTCCAGAGCCTCTGCTTTCCTATTTAAAACTGACCACACTAGCCAGGAGAAAACATCATGGTTAGTTCTCTTGCTATGCTGGGAGCTTAGTCTCTTCTCCAATGATCAGATTTGTGCCGACACCCTCCTTCCACACAGCCATTCACTGGGAAGATCAGCATACTGTTGTTTCTCCTCCTGCAGCTATCTAAGCTCCTTGTGCAGCTGAGAACTTATAAAACAAATATTAGAAATACCCCCCCCCCCCTTTTTTTAACATGTTTTTTTTTTAATCTTTTACACCTATACACAAATGTTTTGCCTTTTATTTCTGTTTTAAACTGTATGGGTTGTTTTACAAGGCAAGGGTTTACATATACTTTAGTTGTTATGACTTTGTTTGTGCTTTAGTTTCTTTGAGTCCTATTTATTTTAAATACTTTTTTGTTTGTTTTGTCTCTATACATTTGTAGAAGGCTTTCTGCTTTTGTGAAACATGAGAGCCTTGTCTTGAGAAAATAAAAGAGCGAAGGTGCTATAACTCAGAATGAGAATTTAGTGGGTATTGACATCCAGGCTTTAATGCTGTTGGCCTTTTGTCTAGAGAAAATGGCCCATATATCAAACAGAAAAAAAGCATGCTGGCGTGCTTATGGAAACTGACAAAAGACGCATGATCTTTCTTTAACAACAGCGGTGTGGATCTGCATTCTCCAAACATCTCTGAACAAATAGACCTCATAAATTTTATATGTTTTAATTCTAAAAACTGAATAGAAGTCCAGACAATTTCTCTAACTTACTTTTTCTATCTCTTTAACATACTAATAACATAGGCATACCATACACTAACAGATCATAACAAAGCAGAGAACAATTACATCATTACAGAACAATAAAAGTTAATGTGTTACACTATGTAAGTCATTAAATATATATCCCATAAAAAATAAATAGGACTGGGTACACGCCAACAAATGAACTGACCTTGTCAGATGAGGATGACTCCTCCACATGGTGGAAAGGTTGGAGAAAAGAGACACTAAATGTAAGGACATATTTATATGGCTGTGGTCCGTTTTCATTAGGGTGATAGAATATATAGTAAAGTAGGCAGCACAGTGGCTAAATGGTTAGCACTTCCGCCTGGCAGTACCAGGGTTATTGGTTCGAATCCCAGCCATGGCACCACCTGCCTAGAGTTTGCATGTTCTCTCTTTGCCTGCATGGGTTTCCTCCGGGTACTCCGGTTTCCTCCCACACTCCAAAGGCATTTAATGTTAATTGGATCCTGTCTAAACTGGCCCTAGTATGTGTATGTATGAATGTAAATTAGGGACCTTAGATTGTAGGCCCCTTGATGTGAATGTCTCCTAGATTGTAAGCTCCAAGGAGCAGGGCCCTCCTAACCCTCTTGTATTGAACTGTATTGTTGCTGTATTGTCTCCCGTTATATTGTAAAGTGCTGAGCAAACTGTTGGCGCTATATAAATCCTGTATAAAAATAATACAATATATATGTGAAGCGCTGCGTAAATTGACGGCACTGTACAGGTACCTGAAATTAATAAAGTAGTTTTCAACCTTTTTTATTACATTTGATGGGATTTTAAAGGCAACCATTAAATGCACAAGAGAAACCACTTCTTTAAAAGAATCAACATTTTATTTTATACATCAAATATATCATTAAAGTTTTTGCTCTACAAGCACATACAGAATGAATGAATATAAAAATATTTCCAGATATATTTTAGAGCAATTCAAGCTACTTATTGAGTTCAGATACTATGTGCTCCAACATTGATCCGGGGGTATCCCCCATAGTTGATTTCCATCTTGCAACCTCTAAGTTTGATTACAGATATATTCAACCTGCGATCCTATATGAATATATCTGTAATCAGACATAGAGGCTGCAAGATGGAAATCAACTATGGGGGATACCACCGGATCAATGTTGGAACACATTATAGTATCTGAACTCAATAAGTAGCTTGAATTGCTCTGAAATGTATCTGGAAATATTTTCATATTCATTCTGTGTGTGCTTGTAGAGCAAAAACATTAAATGATGGATAAATAAAATGTTGATTCTTTTTAAGAAGTGGTTTCTCTTGCGCATTTAAAGGTCGCCTTGAAAATCTCATCAAATGTAAGAAAAAATCCTTTATATTATATAAACAGGGATGATGGCAACCACACCCTGAGCTACACTGAATTAATATAAAAATATATATATATTAGAATGTTCAACCTGTTAACTGTCACAGTTCATTTAGCAGTTTACAGGCATTTTGTACAAAATCTGTTTCCAATCTGGAACCTAAGGGGTTAAACCTCTGCATTGTGTAAAAAGGATGTTTGATCTGATTCTCTGATCCTCTACTTCTTCTACTGTCTCCAATCCATCTCATGATAGAACAGAGCCTTGGTGGCAAGCTGCACATGCTCCATTTGGTGTGTATTGCTAGAGAGTGTTTTTTTTTGACAACGGCCAATTGTCACTGTCCAGAGGGTCAGGGGTCCTGCAGCCTCATAGGACAATCAGGGGAGAATGAAAACTCCTCCTCCTACAAGCTTTAACCAGTGCTCTGCCGGACACTGATAGAAGTCACAGGGGTGCTGTAACTGCTGATAAGAAAAGGTGTTTAGCAGTTTATATTTACTAAAATAATTAGATTTCCATGTTTTGTGTT